CTCATAGATTATGTTACAATTCAACAAAGTGATTCATATTGCTTTCACTATGCTGCAACCCATCTGTCTTTCCCTTAGCCAAGTTATGGCAGTCATACTTCCATACACTTACATTACAGAATTCTACTTCAATACGATGCCTGAACTGTCCACCATGGCTTGTCAGTGTATTGAGGAATTAGCTACCAAGAAATTTCTAATTGTACCAATTAAAATTAGCCTTAACAACTCCCACCAATGCCCAAAGCTGCAGCAGTTCCTATCCAATTTACACTTTACACTCTGTAATCAGACAGCAACTTACATATCTTACTCAAACATTCTGAGTACCATGTTTGATCTGATGTTTTCATGGCAATGTCTATAAGGAGTTTGGGATTCTGCGTTGTAACGTGTACATGTCACCTCCAAAACGTCAGGATGTCTCCAAACTACACGTTGCTACAACTCAGAATGCTGTACTCTACATTCCAAGTACCAGCCCTAGACTCCTCACTGTCACCATGCAATTCAGAAGTATCAACAAACGTGGAACATGCAACTTTCAGTTCTCAATCAAGGGTTGCTATCTTACACTTAAACTCAGATGTCAAATCAAAACCAGCTGTTACCTACTTATGACTGTATTCCCTGTACGTGCAATTAAAATGTAATCTCTAAACAAACAAGTCTTTGGGTAAGATCTGATGTTCCTATGGCAGTAACTATGATTTAATTCTTCTGGGATGTGACACCATGAAGTGTGGTAGAATGTTACCAACATTTCTGATGAATGTAAAGCCTCCATCTTCAGGGTCTTATCATTTAACAGATTCCTCCGAAGTGGTGATAACATTCTACCAGTCTACATCGCCTCACGTCTAAGAAGACAAGAGTCTTTCGAGTTATGGGGTGTTTAGAGAAGCCCATTGCCAATTAGTTCAAACTGTCACATGCTGATACTGTATGCAGATATGAGAGCCATAGTTTACAGGACGAGTTTCAGGAAAGAGACATCATGGACTGTACTTTATTTGATAAAAAGTAGCAAAAGAGTGGTAAGGTGTAAGCTTACAGAATCCATTTTACACAGCAACAAAGCTTTACCAAATGTTTGTAACTTCTAATACTTCTGTAAGACATACATGAAAGTAATTTAGACCAACCAGAGTGGAAGCTGATATAATGCTTCTCATATACTTTATACAGGTTTAATTACAGAACTCCCATATCACACTCCATCAAAATGTGTGTTGCCTGCAAGAACTGCTACATACAACAGAAATAGAGACACAGTTCTGTCACAAAAAATGCTAATATGAATAAAAAAAAAAAAAGAAAGAAAAAGCTCCAACCAGCATTCTGCCTTATAAACTCATGAATACATTCCATAAATGAACAATTCCTGTTACATATTGATTATTGAATTTATAGCACTGATAAACTTCATCATTTAAAGATGGAAATGAGATCAACAGGGACTACCAAATATCAAAAAATGTCTTGTATATGATGCACTGATGGATGTAAATCTTGCTACATATATAGTGCTTCACATGTATGTGATGCCTCGACTAGTCACAATTAGATAGGTAAGTCAATAAGTAAGTTACAAATGGATATAGAACTTAAACAAATAACAGTACTGATTTGAAAAATGCTTTTATTTCTCAACATAATCTCCCTGTACACTGAGGCACTTGTCCCATTGTTTCACTAGCCCCTGAAAACCAGCAGCATAAAATTCTTTGGGCTGCTGTTGGAACCAGGTGGTGACTTCCCTTTCTACAGCTTCGTCATCAGGAAAATGTTCAGCCGAAAGATGATGTTCAAGAGGGCCGAACCAATGGAAGCTGGAGCAAGACTCATCGCCTGTGACAATTAAGGCTAGCATATTGTGTCCTTCATCATGGCAGCAATTGAGAAGCTGTAATGCCAGACCCATTCTTTGTATTTTGTATTGTGGGGTCAGCATGTGCGGCACCCATCATGCACAGACTTTGTGAAAACCTAACCTGTCATGCGATTCCCATTTGTTTGGTCCTCTTAAACATCATCTTCCGGCTATATGGAATCATGGACATTTAAAGGATAACTACAATTTACTTCCTTATGGAGCACCATTTAGAAATAGCATAAAATTGTTTCACAGTCTCACGCGAAGCACGTCCTTCTATAAAACTTTCTGAAAGTTATTGATTACACATTTCAACCTATAAGGTCATCATCAGGTGTTTTAAAATTAGAAATTATAAATGATGAAACTGCCATGCTTCCATATTGTGGCTGTTGGTCTTTACTGTGTGGTCCCTTCTATGCGCATGTATATATGAAGTTGTGGGTTGCTCTGCCCGCTGAGTTACACACACAGGCAGAACAACCCACCACTTTGTATATACATGTGTAGAGAAGGGACCACAAAGTAACGATGCACATCCACAATATGGAAGCACAGTAGCTTCCTCATTTATAATTTATAACTTTAAAACACCTAATGATGACCCTATAGTTCGAAACATGTAGTGAATAACTTTTAGTAAGTTATGTAGAAGGATGTCCTGCACGTAAGACTGGGAAACCATCTGCTACTAAATGAAGTGCAGCAGGGTGCTACAATATAGTACTAGTTACTCATAACAGCTCATGACCAGGTCTAGACCGATATTCACTCCTTCCTGTTCATTCTTCTTCGTTTCTCTACTGTATTTCTGCCAAATCCCATCTGTCTTTACCTTGGCCAAGTTAGGGCAGTCATACTTCCATACACTTACATTACAGAATTCTACTTCAGTACGAAGCCTGAACTGTCCACTATGGCTTGTCAGAGTATTGAAGAATTAGCTGCCATGAAATTTCTAACTGTACCAATTAGAAAAATGCCTTAACATCTTCCCACCAACCCCCAAAGCTGCAGCAGTTCCTATCCAATTTACACTTACAATTACCTCTGCAATCAGGCCGCAACTTACGTTTCTTACACAAACATTGTAAGTAAGATGGGTCTCATTTGTCTTGTTGGCAGTATGAGATGCTGTGAAATCTCAAGTGGGAAGTCGTCGAGCATCCTCCATTAGCCCTGACTTTGCTCCAAGTGACTTCCATTTGTTCGGCCCTCTTAAACATCATCTTTCAGCTTAAATCACAGCCTGGTTCTGACGGCAGCCCAAAGAAATTTTTGCTGCTGGTTTTCAGGGGCTTGTGAAATGATGGGACAAGTGCCTCAATGTACAGGGAGATTATGTTGAGAAATAAAAGCATTTTTCAAATTAGTACTCTTATTCGTTTAAATTATTTATCATCTTCACCTTCCTCATATAGTACGACTTGCTTCCTACATGCACAAATTTCTTATTTTTTCTCACAAAAATAGTCTTATCATATAGTACGACTTGCTTCCTACATGCACAAATTTCTTATTTTTTTCTCACAAAAATAGTCTTATCTTCAAACCATGTAACTTCTAAACCATACTCCAGTGCCTTACCAAAGGTCCACCATGGTTCTGACCACTAATCGCCTTCGTCTTCCACATATCCTACCTCTCCGTTTCTACAAAATTCCTCTTTACTTCTTGCTCCATTTCAAAGTCTTTTATGATCGATGGTTGGCCAGTCACTCTCTCTTAATTTAGAGCTCATTCAGACGCTCATGACCAGATCTTAGTTTTGAAGTGGCTTCACTGTTTGGCCTTTTAATAGGAATCCTTTCTGATGACAAGATGGGTCTATCCCTTCTCACTTGTCAGTCAATTACTTTCTATATTTCATCCTTCCTCCTCTAAACTGCATGTCACAACCTTTACAACTACACATATATAGGGGAAAGGCACTTAAGATTGTGCACTTAATGTATTTATGCCCATAAACACATCATTTTTGTGACCCATGAAAAACTGCATTTATTAAGCAAAACTCCCAACCCTCAAGAATACAAAACACATCAAAAGAGTTACAAAAATTAAATAGTTTGTCTTTAAAAGAACATTTTTTGACAAATGGCAAATGTGCAGTCTTACAGGCAATGTCCTCTAAGAATGCGCAACATGTCCTTTAAGAATGCGTGTTAGCATACATCGCATTTGAAGGGTCTGAAGCCTTTGTAGCCTGAACAGTCTTCATGCCACCACTGTTTACATGCACCGCATTGCACCCAGTCCTCAGTAATGGGCTCTTCATAGGCTTCTTCACAACCAGGACAGTTAATTTTCTCTTCTTCTATAGCTGCAGAACAAGTTGACACTACTGAAGGGCCGTCACAACAAAGAGTTTTGCTGCCTTGTTTGTTATTTCTTGGCTCTCGCCTCATTGCTAGAAGAGCGTTCTTGTATGGAGAGGAAGATAAAACCTCAGACTTTTTAGCAGTCCTCTTCCGCTTCTTCAACAGCACTGCCTTCGGTAATGGTGAGATCACAGCAGGTGAGACTTGTGGCTCCTCAACTATTGCAGGTTGAACTGTTAAGGACACTTCATTACCATTATCATTGTTCACTGAAACGTGTCTTCTGCAGTGGCTTGAGTCTCCTGCACACCGGGGCAGAATGTCACTTCTGAGGGTGCAAAGCCTTCATCTGAGAAGGCATTCCTGTCAACCGGATGAATTCCTGTTGTCTAGAATGCACGTGCTGCTATTTTCATGTTTGCCACTCTCTCATAGGCTGATCTGAAAATACTGGCAACTGCAGTGCCAGGATGGTTCACTAACCACCTGTCAGCCTCTTGGATGTAGGCTTCTTTCAGAGGCCCGGAAAAGCCAACATCTAAAGGCTGAAGCCTGTGGCTTGCATGCAGTGGTAAAGACAGAAGAGTTATATGACGTTCCCTACAGAAGAGAAGAGCTTCAATACTGCAATGGGCTATGTGGTTGCCCAGTATCAGGAGAACTGGATCCTCTTTCGTTGGCTTCACGAAGCTGCTGAAATGCTTTACCCACTCTACGAAGAGTTCAGTATTGATAAAACCAGTGTCAGAAATCATTGGCAATGTTCCTTCTGGGGCACCTGTGAATAGCTCTGGTTTCATCTGCTTTCTTGCAAACATCACAGCTGGAGGAACAAATATGCCTGTGGGGCCTATACAGCACACTACAGTTACTGTCTGCCCTCTCTCGCCTGATGGTACTTTGCAGACAATTTTCTTTCCCTTTTGGGATATTACGTTTGGGACACGATTGGGTACTGTCGAGATACCAGACTTGCCCACACTTAATTTACAATGAGCTGGGAACTTTTTCTCAGCATACACACTGACCAAATTATTATGAAATTGCTCACATTGGATTTTGTTGACTCCAATTGCTCTCCCTAGACTACATTTCTCTGGAGCGCGTAATCTGGAGTGTTAGATTTTGCCTCTTGCAGAAGGCCAATACCCAGATCTTTCCTGCTAATCTCACAGTCCTGTTGAACCTATGTTCAATTTTGTTCTTGTCAGCAAACTCGTACGCTAAACTCATAAGCTATTTCCTGGTAATGCCATAGAATCTCTTGTCCGGCTCCCTCAAATGGTCTGCCAGTTGCCATTCCTGCTCAGGAGTAAACATAGGCTTATGACGTCCCAGGGAAATTGGTACAGTTCCCTGTAAGTTAAAGCAAGAATAAATTATATATTTTACTCCGAGAGTAAATATTGTAAACTTTAGTTAAAATGTAGTATAACATAAATAAACTATTAAATTACTTATTTAATTAATAGTGCTCATTTACCAATTTCAATCTATTTCTCAGAGTGGATTCTTTCGTTCCCAATGAAGCAGCTACTTTTCTTTGACTTTCACCGTTTTCAATTCTGTTTCTAGCTTCGTCTAGGATTTCCTGAGTAAATATCAGTTTTCGGTCCGATTTCCTGGAATATGTTGAACTCATATTGCGCTTCAGCAGACGTCTGTAAGAAAGAACACCCTAGTTTGAAACCTTTTTTACGAAGTGTAATTGTGCCTCTAAGATCGCACACAAGAGCGCACTCTTACAGGCATCTACGTAAGTTACACCTTTTGGCCAATAGCTGGCAGTTGCCTTCACACAGGCAAGCAGTGAGTATTTCACATCTTAGGTTATGTGTTCACCTTGCAACAGGAATAATTATATCCAAGAAAATAATATTACAATTTTCAAGAAAGCTTGCCTTCTTAATAAATACAAATCACTCCGTCCAATTTGACATACAAGTTTTTACTGCGTGAAAACTTATCTCCTTTACATGTTTCGATCCTTACGGACCATCTTCAGAGGGAACATCATTACGAACTGGAAACTACCATCACAATCGGTGTTTTGATTTAAAATACATACACTNAGTTTTGAGGTTTTCACGGCGATGACAATGAAGAAAGTTGTCTTCTGGGTTTAGGCACTGTGTATTCTTCGTTTTGGCCGACGTTTCGGAGGAACGTAGCGCCTCCATCTTCAGAGCAGTTGAATAGCTGCTTATATACGAAGTGTATATAAGCAGCACCTTCCACATCCTATCACCACAGCTACTGCTCTCCGCAGCTATTCAACTGCTCTGAAGATGGTGGCGCTACGTTCCTCCGAAACGTCGGCCAAAACGAAGAATACACAGTGCCTAAACCCAGAAGACAACTTTCTTCATTGTCATCGCCGTGAAAACCTCAAAACTAACATCTAGAAATTTTAAAAACTTTACAATACCAGGAAGCTGCTGTGATTGTGAAATGTTCGACTTTATGCGTACTGTGCATTATAGTATATAAGTGTATGTATTTTAAATCAAAACACCTATTGTGATGGTAGTTTCCAGTTCGTTATGATGTTCCCTCTGAAGATGGTCCGTAAGGACCGAAACATGTAACGGAGATAAGTTTTCACGTAGTAAAAACTTGTATGTCACACTGGACGAAGTGATTTGTATTTATAATTGTTAGTGTGCCGGACCAGAATGAAAAAAATCAAATTTGCCTTCTTAATATTCAGATATATATGAAGATTGATGAATTGTTATTCTTACCTGTTATATCTTTATTAAACCGCGTTCATGAAAATTTTTCACACAGTAGTACACCAATCCACGAGCTTCATCTCTCAACAGAATGTCGCCAGTCAGCAGTGCTGCCAACTACAAGAAAATGCCACTGCGCAATCTTACGTGGTTTTCTCTTACTGCACATGGCTTTCTGCCTTATTTTCATTAGCTCACGCTAGACCGGCAATCTAGTCACCTCAACGATCATAAGCTTCGTCGCCGCAAAATTTAATCCTTGTGTTCTGTCGGGCTGCGCCTTATCCAGTATTCCGATCATTTGCATTTTCACGATTTTCTGTGGCTTCTGATTGCTGACCGCTATACGCATTGGGATATTGGTGTTGTTGAGGAAAACCTTGATTTCTAAGCGCTACACTTTCGAAACGTGGGTATTTGCCGCAAATCTCAAGGCAAGCATACGACACTGCAGACAAAAATAATGCTCTGAGGACGGTACATTTCATCTCAGAGCTTAATCGCTCACTTTTCAATGAAGGACATGCTCTAATAAATGTTGTGAAGGCATTGGGCTTCGATCATTTCTGTATCTAATCCTCTTACAGAAAAATATACAGAGGTTGTACAAGACTCACGAAGGGGGTTCTTCGACCGTTCAATATGAGATGACACCCAACAGATTCGCATCCAGACCTCGCTGCAGCGTTCTGAGAACATAACTTCTTTGCTCTGTCGCATATACATAGGTGTCAGCAGCAAACACACGTAGATGGAAACTAGTTTCTTGGGGGGGGGAATTCATTTATACAAACGCTGTAAAATGCGAGCAAACGTTTCGCCTTCGACCGAAACTCTGAATTTTCTCTCGGAAAAAATGTGTTAACAGGCTTGATTATACCAACGGAAAATTTAATTTGAATTGAACTTGTATGCATTGTTGTATGGTCCCTGGCTGTAGAGAAATCTCCACTGCGTCTTATAGCCGCCCACCTGTACATTTCGTACTTCGATTTCCCTTGCCAATCTCCGTTCCACCAACTGCTCTACAATCACAATCATCTAGAATTGGTACAATAAGCCACAACTTGCCGAAGTACCAGATAATAAAAGAATCGTAGCCACATCCTACCCTTGGCTCCATTTCTCCCAACATCCATCTAAATATTCTATTTGTATCCCCAACAGATTCTTCTATTCATTCTACCAAAATATCCTTTGTATTCCTCTCCCATGACTGACATGCCCTTGGTTCTTTATTGCTGTCCTCAATACACCTAAACCAACAAATGCGAAATTTCAGCCCCTAAAAATATTCTGATAATCCACAACACACCAACCTTTGGCTTCATTCTATGTCCAGAACCTATTTGAGGTGTTACTTATAAGCCTTCCTTTCTCAGCCAATATCACAGATACGTATTTTCCCAAACTAAACATCCCTAATAGGAAATTATTTCATGGCCAAGCAAAACCACGAACAAAATTCCTGGCAATTATTTTGCAATTTCCCCTCCCCCATATTTATTTGGGAATGCCAAATCTCAACACTACTTTGCACATTCCTTTCTTTTTACATTGCATGTAAATACTCTTATATCACATCTCATTAGTCTCCCTTTTTTTACTTTCTCACCTTCTTACCTCGGCCAGTTCCCACTGCAACATGATAATTATGTTCAAGGATTTACACTACAGACCATACTGCTAGATAAATGGGGGAGGGTGGAAAGCCCTAATTACACCATCTCATTTTCAAGTACCTTTGGACTTTCCTGCTTCTCATGAAATGTACTGAACAGAGCAAAAACACACTTAACAAATGTTTTTGTGTTCATACACCATGGCCCATTTGAATATCCAATCTATATTTTCTTCCAAATCCACTACATTAAAATAAGACGCTTATGCTGATCACAACCAAAATAGATAATTCTATACTGATATCAGTCGCCTCAGACAAAGTCTTCCCGAAGTATAATCTCAGTATATTCACTAAGACTCATTCCCTGTTATTGCTATGCTGCTATAGCTGACAGCCCATTACAAATTTAAATGCTGCAAACCCAAAGTGCACACGAAATACGAAGAGATGGTGAAATAGGAAACAAAGCCTGGGGGGGGGGAAGTAAACGGAACCAAATTGATAATTATCAGGACACGATTCAACTTAAGAGGGATCTCAAAAATCCTATATTACACGTTAATGACAAAAACACAAGAAAAAAATTCAGGCACAGATAATCAACAAAAGTCCAGAAACTATTACAAAATACAGTGTGAAAACTGGGATGAGGGAAGGTTCAACATGGGATTTAAGCCTTTATTTCGATCGAAATGGTACATAATAGTACACGCATCCTTACAGCAAACACTTACCTCCAAATAAGAATTACATATATCTCACTTACCTTTCATGTCAGTGTCATTACAACTTGGGCACAAAGATATGCATAGGCATATCCGGACAAAAACATTTTAACAAACAGCACCATACATCCATGAGCTACTAGACTGAATTGTTGTTACATTTCATTAAATGCATAAAAACATAATCCAATGTCTTGCCACAATAGTTCAGAAAGACTACATGGAGCAGACGACAACAAAACCAGTAATTCTTGTGTTCAACTTCCAACCTACCTGCAACCCATCTCAATTCCTGAAAACAAAACCTCCTTGAACAAATCCCCATGTCAGTATGCAATCAAATTTCCAGTGCTTCAATGAAATGTCTGCTTCCATTCTGATGAACCTGGAGAACAGCAGGTGATCAGGTGATCTCGTCATGTATTTGGTCATGAACAGCATCATTTAACATGGATAATGTGGAATGAAGCAAGCAGTCCCAGTACTTGTGTGTCAATGGTATCACTTTGCTGATGTGCAATGGTAGCTAGGTTCTCAAGACAGATTTATACTAAATCCCATTTCTCTGATGATGTCAGGATGTAACCCAGTCTCAAGGGCCAGTACCATCCGTATACCATCTTCAAACATAATGCAGTACTGCATACAATTACCTACAGGATACAGCAATAACTACGACTACTGAACTACGCATGCCACGCTGCTACTGGCTAAAACTACAGAGTACATGCTTACCAGTCCAGCCCTGTTACATCCCAGTAACTTAAACAGGAATACAGAATGTAGTCTAGGCTAATAGCATATGTCAATGAAGCAGCACCTTCAACACACAGCCACTAGTAACGTTTGCTAACATCCTAGTCTTCCGATGTTAGGAGATGATAACTGTTGTCCTGGATATAAGTCAATGCCTGCCTCCACCCACTGTTCTCCACTAGTCCCTTTGCAACAAGGACACCAGATTCCAAGAGCAACTGCATGTATACAGTGGCCACATTGCTGCATCACTCATACAATTAATCCCTGATGATGGATGCTGAGACTGCCATTAAAATGGAAAGTCATTCCTTATTCATACAGCTAATCACCTAATCAAAACAGTTTCACAGCCTGTTTACAAAATATTTAAAAAGTGATATAGGTACAGCAGACAGACTCTGTGGTCTAGTGGCCAGACTTCATGGCTACAGATCCAGAGGTCCCAGGTTCGATTCCTGGTGCTACCATATTTTCTGAGTAGTAGTGGGTCTGGAACAGAGTCCACTCAGCCTTGTGAGGATAGCTGAGCAGCTATTTCAAGGAAATAGCGGCTCCGGTCCAGAAAACCGAGATTAACGGCTGTGGGGAGCCGTTGCACTGACCACCTCTATCTGCAAAATTGGCACTAACTTCACGGACAAGCGGAGGTGGCTCTGTTGGTATAGTTTGCTTGCCGACTGCAGGCCACGGAGTTCATGGGTACAGTAACTGCTGCAAGTAGGTAAAAGCACTCTGTTCTTTAAGGAGGATGTATGTTGCTGCATATAATTTTACTAACTATTCTAATGCTGAGGGTGTTGAAACTGAATGCAGGTTTCTCACTTCTGGTGCAGGCTGACAAATACTTAGGCATATAATGCTTCTTTGTCATCTTCAATGTGTGAGCATTAGACTGGACACTGCATCCATAGTGTACACTGTGGCAGGCAAACCCTCAGGTACTAAATTCTTATACATTTATGAGGATGGGCATGACATCAGATGAACAATTATTTCCTTTTACCACATCCTTCTGTTTTTCTGATAATGCGTGTTGGTCGATATCTCCACCACTGCAACGGAACAGATGAGGTAACACCATGTCTGACAAACTTGAAATACAGTATATCTTTGCTTGTGCATACAAACGCAAAAAATTAAATTTCTTGTCATTAATATTATAAGTGTGTCTTTTTGACTTCATACACTCAAGGGTTCACAAGTCTACTTTACCACTGTAGATGAAAAAAACAGTCCCAACTCTGGCACCTGTGATACTCGACACACGGGGAGTTGTACACACTACTGTTCTCCTTCAATAAATACTGCCATGCCAAACTGTTTCCCGCTTTCATTCCTCAGTAAGAAGTTCACACACATATGAACAGTCCCATTCTGATGAACAGGGAAAGAAAAACTGAATGAACAATTATACATGTTACATCACATTAATATTAAATACTGGAATCATACTTGGAACATAATTCAAAATGGAACTTAAATAACACTGAAATCAAAATATGACAAATATTATCAGAGTGTACGCATAAATAACAAAAGAATGAAAACACTGATGACAGAAGCTGAAACACAGAAAAGCAATCCTACTCAAAAATATTATGTATGTAACTTAACTCAAGTACATTTCATAAAAGAATTACTCTTATACAGACCAAGACATAGGTGGGTGGACAATATTAAAATGAATCTTAGAGAGATAGGATGGGATGGTATGGACCAGTGGAGGGCTCTTGTGAACAGGGTAATGAACCTTTTGGTTCCAGAAAATGCTGGGAAGCTCTTTGAGTAGCCACACAACTGGCAGCTTCTCAAGAAGGGCTCAGCTCCATGAGTGAGAATATACATACATACAGTACATACTTACTTGCACTAAGACTTAAACATATGCTTGTCATATAATTTCAAAGCTGACCAAGAAACGGATGCACACACTAGTACTGTCAACAGATGAAGTGTCACTTACACAAGGAAGATATTCACTGCAGACCCTAGAAATTAACCACATACACTTTCAATATATGAAATAATTTTTAAGGCTCGCTATAGAATGTTCACTGTAGGTCCAAAAAAGGAAACACACTATGAATGACAACAGATGAAACAACACCAGTAAGCAAAGACTTACAATATTATACACAGTTCCTGGCATAATTCACAGAGCCTGCTTTCCCCTTGCAGACCTCTTATGCTACAAATAACATTTACATTGTAAGATTTGAGGCTTTCACGGCGGTGACTATGAAGAAAGCAGTCTTCTGGGATTTGGCACCGTGTATATGTGGTGTTAACCGACGTTTCGGAGGAACGTATCGCCCCCATCTTCAGGGTTGAAGAAGTCTGCTTGACCGTGTCTCACGGTGTTGTCGCTTGCAGATTTACTTATACTTCTTCAACCCTGAAGATGGGGGCGATACGTTCCTCCGAAACGTCGGTTAACACCACATATACACGGTGCCAAATCCCAGAAGACTGCTTTCTTCAACATTTACATTGCATGTCTTTCCTGTATGATCCCACACAACGGCAAATTCCACAAGTTTTGTTTCCAGATACCTCCTGTTGTGTCTGAGGCAATTTCACTTGCTGTTAGAACTCTCATAAAAGAACCTGAGGTTCCACAACTATGTTCGGTTATCTGAAAAATGTGAAATCAGTAATTACTTTAAGAACATATTCATTTTATTAATTATACCAATAATATCAAAAGCGCCTAATGAATATTTTTATGCTTTGCTTCCTGTTGTGAATATACAGTCAGGGTGTCTGTGCTGCCACACAACGGGTGATATTTTGGCCATTAAACAAAAGTTTATTGGACTGAATTTACCAATGAGCCAGTCTGTCCATTGTATGGTCGCTATGTCATGTAACTTTTCAGCAACCACTCGGTGCTTATGTTTTTGTTTGTTGTCTTTTAAGAGTCCCATTGTTCTAAGTTTATTTGCAAAATTGTGAATTGTTTTTCTGCTGGGAATTATTTCATCATGAGGTTTACGTCAAAATTATGGCGAACACTTTCTAGCAGATCCGTATTTCATATAGCTGTCATACAGAAATACACGCTGCTCTAATGTATGCAGCAACATGACATACAGCACTGCTAACTGAAACTGAGAACAAATGCGTTAAGGAGCTGATAATGGCTGCCTACTGCTGACAACTCATAACAAAACCCCATGCATGAACTGCACTGACTGCTGTGAAGTCGACTACAAGTTACTTCCCTTCGTTCCAAACATTAGCAGCTGATTCACTGGCAAAATTTGTATGCACCTCGTGGCAGGTGGCACTCTGGCCACTGTGAATGGCAGAACCGTGAACTCGTCAAATGAGTAAAAATCCTCCCTCTATATGTGTAGCACAGCTGTAGGTAGTGTTATCCTGTGCATGTTCAGAAGATCACCATTTTCTCTTCCGCATGTCTTACCCACATATATGTGTGTGTGCGGATGTTAGTATGTAGTAATGCGCATTTTGCAGTACTGGATATACATCACTGTGGATCAGTAAGATTTTGATTTCTATGAAAGTGGATATTCAGTGTGTAAGGGGTGTATCCGCTGTGGTTGCTTTCATGTGGATTGAATTTTCTGTCTGTAGCACATTTCAGATATAGTTTGTATGAGCAGTGGTAGAAGATTCACTGATTTACACACATTTCAGTTAACCATTCCACACGCACTAGGATTCTCTGTCTTCCACTAGTCTCCTAGCAACAGATCTCCACACAGAAACTGTCACTTCAAATCACTCCAAGTATGCACTCCATTTACTCCTCCAGTATCACTGCACCATCTCACACATAAAGTCTTCTAAATCACATATGATATCCTCACAGGGCCACCTCCTTATTCTTCTGTGTTCCTGGTTCCACTCTGGGGATATGTGACGTCACTTGCGGAAACACAGAGGTCACATGGCCCCCTACTCACTACTGCAATATGATGTCATCGCGCCTGTGCAGAAGTCTTATTTACCGGCTGCCACTTAAACGTGGGTTGCATAACCTCATTCCACTGCTGTGTAACTTAGCAACCAACAGTTTATCAAGAGTCTGTCTTCGTGATAACTCATTCCATATCCCATTGCCAACAATAGGTTGACACATAATATATTCGTAATTTTATATATATATATCCCTCTCATTGGTGTCTCCACCTTATCGTGGTGAGGGGGTTTGAGTATGCCAAGGACCCTGAGAGCTATACCAGTGGTAGCGTAGCTACTGGCAGGGACTCCCTTGCTGGACAGGTCAGATGAAGAGAGACCAAAAACTGATGCCGGAAGCAGCGTCATCAGCAGCGACTTGAAGCTCAGAGCAAATGATGCTCGAGATGGTTCAAGTTCGTATAGCAACAGGCGTGACCAGAGTGGTTTGAATGGCTGTTGTACTGCGGTGTGGAAAGCAAATAGAAAACTACCACATTATCACTTTTCCTGGATAGTCTCTTTCCAAAAACAGAGATACCATGTATGCGAGATGTTTCCTCTGGAAACAAAACAATCCAGAGGTAAACTACTCCCCCAATCGGATCTCCTGGGGGGAGTGTTTCTAGAGGAAATGTCATGCAGGCGTTACAAGAAGAAAAAGTGTGAAGATCAGAAGGAACATCATGGCTACAAGACTGTAACATGGAATGTAGGGACCTTGAATCAAGCACGCAAATTGGAGAATTTGAAAACATAAATGCAGAAGAATGAGGTGTCTGTTTTAGGTATCAGCGAAGTGCGGTGGAAAGGACAAGGTGAAATAAGAAGTGGTGATTATACAGTGTATTATTCTGGAGGTGAACGGGCTGAAAGAGGTGTGACAATAGTGGTGCATAAAAGTGTAGTGAGGAGTGTTGTTAAGAAGATTGTTTGTAATGACAGAATTATTGCTCTGAAGTTAAAGGCAGAAC